TGGCGCGCTGCGGACGCGGGCCGGGTGAGCCCGCCCTCCCGGCCGCGGATTGGCCCGCGACGGGACCCGTCGGTCGCGGTTGTGTCTGGGAAGGAGAGAAAATGGCGGCGGAGCCGAGCAAGACCGAGATCCAGACTCTCTTTAAGAGACTTCGCGCAGTACCTACCAACAAGGTGCCCGAACGGGAGGCGCGGGGGGCTGGCGCGGGCCGAGAGGGGCTCCGCTTCCCGTCTGGGGCCTCCGGAGGGCCGAGGGGGGGAGGCGGGCCGCTTTCCGAGCGCCACTGACCGCTCGCTCGTCGCCTCCACCTAGGCCTGTTTCGACTGCGGCGCCAAGAACCCGAGCTGGGCCAGCATCACGTATGGCGTGTTCCTGTGCATCGACTGCTCCGGGGTGCACCGCTCCCTGGGCGTCCATCTCAGCTTCATCAGGTGCGGTCTGCGCGCGGTTCTGTGCTGACACCCTGCCGCGGGCTCTGTGGCTGCTCGCCCTTGGACCGCTCCGGGTTCCGTGTTCGAAAATCTCGGAGCCGGAGGTCCAGTGGCCTCCTACCGGAGGGGCGGTCTGTGTAGGCCCCTTCCCCCCTAGGCGGACGGTGTCCGTGTCTGGGGCCAAACTTCCGTCTTTCCCGACGGTCACACTTGAGACCGCGCTGGTTTGGGAGGAAAGTTAGCTGCACGGACTCTTTGATGTTGACATATTGGCCTAGTAAATCTCTAGTGAGGCTGTGACTACGCTAAGGGGAAAGCCACATCCAAGCTGGGCGCCGGAGAGTGTGACACCACCTGTCGGATCTGGGGCAGAAATAGGTACCCTTTACAGTAGATGGATGGAGAACAAAGGCCTGCGTGGACAGGGTAGGGTGGAGGAAATGGGGCCTGACTGTTTCCTGGCTGCCTACAGCAGCCCAAGGCCAAAAGACAGGTGTGGGGCCTGGGAAGGCGTCTCCTGGCGTCTGCTGGTGAGTGACACACAGCCCTTGTTCGCAGGTCTACAGAGTTGGATTCCAACTGGAACTGGTTCCAGCTGAGGTGTATGCAGGTCGGCGGGAATGCCAACGCAGTAAGGCTTTCTCTCTCCCTGTCTTATGCACACACATACCCACCCACTTGTCTGGGGATGGATCTTGTGGTGACTCCCTGGGAGGTCCACTCGGTTTCTCTGTTCCAAGGATTCTCTGCCCTACACTACCACCATACACCATCTTCCTTTTTTTTTGGAGATGGTTTTGCTACAGGGTGCATGGGCTTGCCAGAAAGACAGAAACAGAAAGACAGAAAACGAGAAATCACCCCCCAGGGGAGATGGCCACTCCGCAATCCCTTCTCCATTCTCTTCTCCGGATCCTGGGTTCACATGCATACACACCCGGCATGAGTTTAAGCCACCAGGTCCGGCACTCGAACTATGGTCGACCACGTGGGAATCCAGCAACGGAGGCATTACACCATCTGCTGGCCCATCGTACACCATTTTCTAAACTTGGGAATCAGTCACAGCTCCTCTCAGAGGGGCCTCAAATTCAGACTACACAGGACAGATGTTCCTGGGGAATAGCCAAGGGAGTTGGGGCTCCACAGAATCACTGAGTCTTGAGGGCTCGCCCAGCTGAAGGGTGGGTAGAAGTGGGTATGGCATGTAGTCCTCTTCAGGCAGGTGTGATGACGGCCGAACTTCATCAATCATCTCTGGGGGTGGGAGGCTGCAGGTGCGGCTATTTTAATTAATTAATTTATTTATTTATTTTTGAGGAGCTTTACCTCTATGTAAGGGAGTTGGTGGCAACAAAGTATATCTTTCTTTCCTTTTTTTTTTTGGGTGGGGTGGGGTGGGGAGAGATTTTTGCTATAGGGTTTGTTTGCTTGCCAGAAAGACAGAGAAAGACAGAGAGAAAGTGAGAAATCACCCGCCCCTAGGGGGGATGGCCATGCCGCAATCCCTTCTCCATTCTTTTCTCGGGATCTTGGGCACGCACGCACACACACCTGGCGTGAGTTTAAGTCACCAGGTCTGGGACTCAAACTGTGGTCGACTACATGGGAGTCCAGTGACTTAGCCATTACGCCATCTGCTGGTTCCACAGAGTATATCCTTTAAACATCCTGTATACCGTAATGATTTCTGTTATTTATACGCTGTACATAAGTAGTGACTGGACTGTCATGGGGATGCCTTCTCCAGTCAGTGCGTTCTTGCTCTAGTGAGAACCACCTGTGACACACTCTTTGCTCTCCAGACGGCTTTTTTCCGCCAACATGGATGCACAGCCAGCGATGCCAACACCAAATATAATAGCCGAGCTGCCCAGATGTACCGGGAGAAGATCCGGCAGCTGGGGAGTGCAGCCCTGGCTAGGCATGGCACGGATGTAAGTGCCTGTCCCAGTGTGGGGTGGCAGGTGGGTGGGGTGCTCAGAGCCCTATTCCATGGGTGGCTTCTCCCTTCTAGCTCTGGATCGACAATATGAACAGTGCTGCTAGTCATTCCCCAGAGAAGAAGGACTCCGATTTCTTCACAGAGCACACTCAAGTGAGTGCCCACAGGGTGTTTTCCCCGGTTGTTCCTGACAAGGTGTTTTCATTCTTGCAAACAAGGCCGCCTGTGATCACGGACGTGGATTCCATTTCTTTAGCTTTATCTCAGGCAGAGAATGTCTGGAGCTGCTGAGCTGGCGGCTGCTGCCTGCTGGGCAGGCCGGGTATTTCCTCTTCCCTCGAATGTGGCTCTTCCCTGTGAGCTGGGGTGGGTGGTGGAGAAGCTTCTGGAAGGTTCAAGAGGTGTTGGGGGCAGCAAACAACTCTTCTAAATTCTTCCCCCATAAGGCAGGCTCTGTGGTTGGGGACAGTGAAAGGATCCCCTTCCCCGTAACGTCCCTGTGAGTAGGCTTCCTTCCTGCTGCCCCTGGGAGCTGAAGGCGCACTCGGTCCGAATCCTTCCTGTCTGTGTAGCAGTTCTGTGGTGTGGTCGGGTCACTTCACTGTCAGAGCCTCACGTGTCTTTCCCGTTTGACTACCACGTTTTCTCCTTATAATAGATCTTAGTGGCTATGCTTACGGGATAGATTAAAACTGCCATGATCTGAAGAGGGAGGGTTTTTTGGTATCTTCCTTCTATATGAAATGGCTGAACAGAACAAAAGCAAAACCTCACATGCCTGCCTCGTAGGCCTTGTGTTAATTACATGTGTTTTTATACACGGCGTGCGTAGACTTGTGTCTGGCACCTGGTAAGTGCCCGGTAGTTGTTGCTGTTTTGTAAATTGGGGGACTAGGCTCTCAGTAAATAGTGGCGAGGTGGGGGCTGCCGCTCGCTGCTGTTTTCCTCTGTAGAGAAGAACAGCTGTCTGTTTACCACCTCCAGCCCCCCTTCCCCGTGAGCGTGGTGCAAGGCCTCGTACCTCAAAGGTATTGCGGTTCTTGGTTCTCCTTGCCAGTAGACGTGACTGTGACCTGGCCTCTTTTCAGCCCCCTGCCTGGGACACACCAGCCACTGATTCTTCAGGGACCCAGGAGCCAGCCTCGTCTGCAGAAAGTGGTGGCCTGGCACGTGAGTTCAGCCCAGATTCCACTCAAGTGCCCTGGTCTTGGGAAGGGATCAGGGGCTAGGAAGGGGACCCCTGGCCAAGGGAGCAGGAGTAGAGATTTGGGTGGGTTGGAATCCATGTTACTACCTTGGAGGAAGTTATGGCTACACGCTAAGGGAAGCCAGAGACTCTTGTCCCATCACTTCCCTTGAGGGGAGTTCACAGGCAGCCCTGAGCTGCACACCTCACTCCTGCTGTTGCCTCCACAGAGCCAGAGCATGGCCCCAACACCGACCTGCTTGGCTCCTCCCCCAAAGCCTCTCTGGGTGAGTATGCCAGCTGCAGGGCAAGGCTGGCTGGGAGAGGGTGGGCCTCGGGTTCTTTCGGATCTGCTGCCTGGTCACGTGGGTGGAGGCCACAGGAGACTGAACATCTGGTTCTCTAGGCTGGGGACTGTGATCGCAGTTGTGGCTGCAGCACTGACTTCAGAGCCAGGCCCTTGGAACTGGTGGACAGGGGGCTTGCGTACAAGGCTGGGGTTCGCCTGAGTGTGGGGAGGCCAGCACAGACTGGATACCTGTCCCCAGGTCCAAGGCAGGGCTGGCCTATCTGGTCCACCGTAGGGTGGGCACAGCTATGATCTGCTGGTGGCTAGGACTGACATTGTCCTTTCTCAGCAAGTACCTGTCTTTCAGCTTTTTCTACTCCTTCCTTAGTACCTTTCAGACTTGGTTCAGGTAAACGACCCGTGTGCTGGCCTCAGTCTGTCCTGCTGGCTCTTGGGTTGGGGCAGGAAGCCAGCAGGGTGACTGTGAGACTGACCCCTGAGCCGGCTGCGTGTCTAGTCTGCAGCAGGGCTCTGTAGAGGCCCTGGCCTTGGGAGCTACGTGGAGGCTCTGGGGTGGCCCCTTGTGAGCCACAGTCTGTTTTTCCCCTAGAGTCCATGTATCTGTCACCTAAAGGGGCCCTTCCTGCCAGAGGTAACCAGCAGCTGCTTGGGAAGCTTGGCCCCTTGCACGCCAGCCCCCGCCTAGGAGCGGAGGCTGTGCTCAGCGTCTGCCTCCTGCCTGGCAGTCTTCATGTTGGCTCAGGGACTTTGTCTCTGGTGCTTCAGGTCTAGGTTCCTGCCTCAACCTGCAGGGCTCAGGAGCTCCCCCTAACCTTGTCTGCCTTCGGCTTGGACACCACTGGCTAGAACTGGTGGCGGCAGCTTTGCCTTCCCCTGCCTCTCGCTGTCCTCAGGAGCTCTCGCCATGAAGCTGCATGTCGTGAGCTGAGCTCTGCCTCTGACCCTCCTTGGTCCTGGCTCATTCCCCCGCCCCCTTTCTCTCACAGAACTGAAAAGCTCCATCATTGGCAAGAAGAAGCCAGCAGCAGCAAAGAAAGGGGTAGGTGGGATGAGGCGGTGTGGCAGGGTGGTGGGTTGGCTCGGACTGCCTGATCACCCTTTGCCTTTCCAGTAACTGACTGGGTGACATGGGCAAAGGTACTCAGTGTCTTAGAATCTTATCTGCAAAAGGGATTTAAAGATGTCCACCTGGAGGGGCTCTGAGGAGGAAGACTCAGTGATGGCGCATGCCTAGTGCTTGGCACAGGCTGGGCCTGTCAGCCTTCACTGGTGACCTCATGCCCTGAGGTCCCCGCTGGGGTCATGAGCCACCTCTGCCCAGCCCAGCAGGACCTCTACTCTCTTAGCCATGCCAACTGGGCTCCCATCTTGTCCTGAACTCTAAGAAGGACCCTTCCTCATGGGTGTGGCCAGTGTCCAAGCCTGGGAGGGATCGGGGTGATGGGTTGGCAGGGCCCATATCTTGCGATTTTTTTCTCCCAGCTGGGTGCCAAGAAAGGCCTTGGGGCCCAGAAGGTGAGCAGCCAGAGCTTCAGCGAGATTGAGCGACAGGCCCAGGTGGCAGAGAAGCTCCGTGAACAGCAGGCAGCTGATGCCAAGCAGCAGGCCGAGGAATCCATGTGAGAGTGTGCCGTGGGGTCCCTGCGGTGCGGGCAGGGCAGGGCTGGACTGGGTGGGCGCTCGCATCTGATGTGCGTGTCCCCTCCAAGGGTTGCCTCCATGCGCCTGGCCTACCAGGAGCTCCAGATTGACCGGAAGAAAGAGGAGAAGAAGCTACAGAACCTGGAGGGGAAGAAGCGTGAGCAGGCCGAGAGGCTGGGCATGGGCTTGGTGTCCCGAAGGTGAGCTTGCTCCGGGGCGTATTCGTTGTTACGGAAATGGCTGCCATCTGCCTGGCACTTTGGGACTCTAGACCTAGGCTTCCTCTGAGGCTGAATAGGCCACTGTGCTGTTGTCTTGAAGCTTCCAGTACGTTGGGGGCACGCAGCAGGTGTGTGCTCAGTAAGTGCGATGAAAGCGTAGGACACGGGTTAGGTCTGTTCTAAAATACCCGGGAGGTAGGACGGTTTCTTTGTGGGGTGCTAATGGCACTTTGAACAGTAAGACAGTTATTTTTCAAGACCACCTTGAGAATTGCAGGGCTTTTAGCATCCCTAATCTCTGTCCACTAAGTGTTACTCTGACACCTCGAAATATTCCCCTTTTCGGGGACCAGCAGTTAGCATAGAGGCTGTGTTGTTTGACTGCCATGTAGTCGATCGCGGTTCGAGTCCTGGACCTGGTGACTTAAAACTCACGCCGGGCACATGTGCGTGC